ACAATGGGAACCATGTGGCTAAGTGAGTAAGATGCTGTCTAGTCATTCAGATGGGACAAAAAACCAAGGTCCCGGGTACACATTGGCATGCACGTAAAATATCCCTTGGCAGTTGGAATTCAATATAAGAGTTGACAGTAGCACAGCTGTCTGGGCAAAATTACCCTCATAGCACACTGTATGGCATAAACTTGTCTTCATTAGCTCAGTCGGAGCACAACAGTAGGACGTTAATAAACCTCAGTTCATTTCACTTTTCACAATATTAAAGTTCAAGGTCAGATATATACAGAGAGCATAGAAGAAAACTTAAAAAAAATTTATTTTATGTGATTTGACTAAGCCAGTTATGTTGGGCATGTTCAAATTAGATTGTATTCCAAAGTTTAAATAAATCTAGATACCATCACTGATACACACGTCTTCGCTATCAATGATTGTACAGATGTTTTCTGTGGTTTTCAAGAAGTTTAATTAATGATTGTGTAGGTCAATGCTAAGTTTTTATGAGTGTGAATTTCTTGTTGGTACTCTAGTGGTTACAATTTATATTCTCTGTATCTTTCTGAAATCGATTTTCAACATCAAATAATTACCTTGTCATCTGTACCTAAATCTTTTACAAACTTTAAAAGATGTAGTTGTTAACCTACATTTATCTTTTCTGAAATTTATATTGGTTGTATTCTAATCCTATTTGAAAGAAAAAACTATTGATTTATTCCCCTTTGTTAGGAACTTGTTTTAGCACCTTAGAGACTTCAATTAGGATTTAATTTTTATACGCCCTCATTGAAATGTGATCGTATATTGTCGTCGCCTCTGTCGGTCTAGAGGCCAAGGTTAAATTTATACACAGTGTTTAAGGTCATGAGACCAAAGAAACCTTTTGATTTTCAACAATATCCGATAATTACTGCCAGAGTTATGGCTCTTGATCACTTTAAAAAGAAGGCTAACGTTAATATCCTATTGACTTATACATATTGTTTAGGCTCATGAGATGAAGAAGTCTATTGATTTTCAACAATTTCTAATCATTACTGCCAGAGTTATGGCCCTTGATCACTTTGATAAATCTTGTGAATGTTCTAGAGGCTAAAGTTAATAACCAAATGATTTTAAATTCATACAGAGTGTACACAGTGTTTCAAGTCATGAGATGAAGAAGCCTATTGGTTTTCAACAATTTATGATAATTACTGCCAGAATTATGGCCCTTGATCACTTTGAAAAATCTTGTTGACGTTCTAGAAGCTAAAGTTATCTGATTGGTTCAAGAGTTATGACCCTTGATATAAAATGTTTTGTATACTATTACTAAACATTAGTATAGGGCAGAACTATTAGAAGCCAAACAGATTTTAATGAATTCTGATAATTACTTAATGGGTTGTTACTCAGAATCAGATTTTAGTGTCTTATAAATGTTTTCATTACTGGCAAAAGAAAAAATATGTGACAACCCTTGTTGACTGCCAGGACGACTTAGCTGCTGTGGGCGTTGTTTCGTTGACTGGCAACCTATCTTTTGGAAATTTTTAACATGAGTTTATGTTTCATTGCCTGACAACCTATGTTTCCTGTAATTAGGTGATTTTAAAGTTGTTTTGAATATGATTTTATTCAAAATTAATTATATTATTTTTGTGGTGAGAGCAAGAATGTCTCTTTAAAGGTACTTTGTAAACAGTTCTGTTCAATTAAGCTTCCATGATAGGTAATGATATACCATGTAATAGGTTTTATTACATAGCAAGTAGGTCATAATAAACACATAATTATAGCCCACCTGTAATAAGGTAGCAAGTAGGTCATAATGAACACATATAGCCCACCTGTAATAAGGTAGCAAGTAGGTCATAGTGAACACATATTATAGCCCTTTTGTAATAAGGTATCTGAAAAAAAAAATCCCCCACCCTAAAGTATATTTATAGATTAAAGGGAATCTGGAATAAATAGCTTTAACTGTTCCTGGATCTCAGCTGTGTTGTGATTGACATTTAAGAATTTTTCTTCATCTTTAAATTATTCCGTTCTCATTAACACCTACAGGTATGTGGTAATATTTATAATGACAAATTGTAGACTTGTTTCCCATGAAAACTCAATACAAAGAAACAGGAACCAGTGAACAATAGGTGGGAGTTACTTGGATCATGGTCAAAGACACACTGACCTTTATTTCTACTGGAAACTTCGTTACCAGTAAATTATTTATTAAGATGAGGAAGTAGTTTATTTTTACATTAATTAAGACCAATGGGTTTTACTTGTGAAGTATAATCCTTTTTTTTTTGATGTTTTTCTTCAAGTTAAGTGGTAACATTATGGAAATGATTAAATATGATAAGCATCAATTAATTTTATTAGAAACTTATCAAATATGGAATTGAAATTCCTCAATGACTATATATCATAACTGTTCTGAAAACATTTACCAACATGAAAGGTAAAAAAGTGGTTTCTATTATGGAAAAATTCTATGTAACACTAACAGAGCACTACCATTCTGGCAAATGGTATATAATATAATTTGGAATTGCTGGAGAGGCGCCAGACCTTGGTACCTTTTTTAAAAGATTTTCTGATGTTATTGCACATAATTTACAAATCTTAAATCAGTTCTGTCTTTCACCTGCCAACAGCCTTTGTTTTCTCTGTCAAGAAACTTTTATTTATGATTATTTTCTTAACCAATTGTTATTACATTACTCAAATAAACCGCAATCTATCTACCTCCGAATCTTGGTGCCAAATCTTTATAAATCGTGTTACGATCTATCTAAGTTGTGTGGTTTAATAGACTTTGTAACAGACTACACAGTGGTGACTGTTATTCTAGTAAGATTTATCTTCTGGTAATGTTAGGAATAATATTCTTTTTAAAAGACACCTACATACAAAGAAAAGATTTCATCATATTTGATATTATCTAAGTGGTATCAAATTGCTTCATCATGCAGAATATCTCATTACAAACACATTCACAGTGTATTGGCTGCAAAAAGTACTTTGACTGAAAGAAACTAAACTTCCTTGATTTAGGCTGGGAGCCGTGGTAGACAAGTTGTAAGACTTGAATACTGGCTGTCTAGTCGTTCGGATGGGACAAACAACGAAGGTCCTGTGCACATAGAAGAATCCTTGACAGTTGGAATTTGATATAAAAGTAGGCTGTAGAGCAGCTGCCCAGGCAAAATTTCCTCATATATCACACTGTTTGGCATAGGCCTATCTTCATTAGCCCAGTCGGTGCAAAAAAGTAGAATGTTAAACCCCATTCTATTTTATTTCTTAATCATGTTTTGCCTGCCTGGTAACAAATGGTAGATTGCATTTTCTGTGTATTTGTTTTGGTATAGTTGTGTGTTCTCCATCTGCTGTGGTATATTGAAAGAGGTTTGATTTTATTATTAAAAACTGCTCAGATGAGTGAAGTATTTATTGGAAATCTTCTCTTCACACGCATCTTGGCATGGCACCAATGTAACCAAGAGAAATGAAAATAATTGTAAAAGCTGTGCATGATGAAAACAAGAAAACATTAAGAGAGAAACTAGAGCAATCTTTGTTATTTTCTTATTGGATTATTTTCTTGTCTGGTTTGGTCGACTTAAAGTAGCGCGTGGCTGGTGCGAGACTGATACTGCAGATTCTGTCATCTTCAACTGTCTGAATCTAGTCACACGACTGACATAAAAAACAAATCTATGTAAAAGCCAGGTGTTATGTAATTGGTGAATTTATTTTATGCTTTCACTTAGAATATTTGTGTAGTATGTTCTATTTCTGAGTCGAGTGGAGAAATTGTTATGACATATATATCTGGCATAAGTAGAGAAATTTGTATAGAGTATGTAGATAAGCAGGAGATAAGTTTTGACTGTTTGCATGTAGATATGCCGGCTGCTGTGATAATTAAACACATATTTCTAATTAAAGGGTAACGAACGACATGTGATGAGTAAAGTTGCTTTTTTAAATATAACTTTATTTGCCTGTATTTTTCTATTTTACATGTTTTCTTTAGAAAAAAGAAGGGAGCCACGTTGGCTCAGTGAGAAAGATGATTTGATCGATATTACAAACAAGTATAAATAACCCCAATCCTTTACTGCAAACTCTTACATGTATCAGGGAATAAAACAACAATAACTCACTGGCTCAGATGGTCCCTAGTTGAGCAAGTTGCTCAGGATTTATCAGCCTGACTTCCCCTTGTAAGTGGTGCAGGCTTGAGTACCTGAAAAGGAACAGCATCTAGTCAGTTGGGTGGTACAGATATTGGAGGTTCTGTGTACACTTTTCGGACAGAATTTCGCTCATAGCACCTGTCATCATTAACTGAAATGAAATGGGATTTAACGTCCTACTGTTCTGCTCCGACGTCCGATGGGGCTAATGAAAACAGGCATACGTCATACACTGTTCTATGAGGGAAATTTTGCACGGACACCCGCTCTACGACCTACTCTTATATCAAATTACAACTGCCGAGGGATCTTATACGTGCTCGCCAATGAGTACATGGTTTTTTGGTCCCATCCTAACGACTAGACAGCCAACCGTGTCAGGCCTTCTGTCCTGCACCACTGACAAGGGGGAAATCACGCCAGGTCTTCATGAACTCAGCTAGTGTAGAAAAGTAGCATGTTACACCTCATTTCATTTTAAATAAAACCAAAACCGATACATTGTTATTAACTTGCAATTGAAATGAGATCTCTGTATTTATTGTTAATGACTCAGCCTATGACTGATGTTTCTTAACAAAAGATCTGCTTTAGTAGTTATTTGAAATCGGATGCTAAAAACAGTTATTAATAATAAATACTATTTTTTTAAATTAGAGAAAACCAAAATGTGGTGATATCTTTATTAATTATTATTCCATTATTATTAAGTTTAAAGAGATATTTTGATTAGACTAGAAATTGAATAATATGTAATGCGATATGTGTCTTTGATAATTATGTTACATGTATTTATTATAGCACTGATGTTAATCAGTTTTCAGCAAATTTTATTAAAACTTCTCTGAATCATCAATAGATTTTTCTTTTTAAATACCCACAGGGAAATGTTATTGTATATTTTCCTTGCACCAGTCGTCTGTTGTCCACAATTTCGTGTGAACACCCTACAAAATAGATTTATCGTCTGATATTTTGAAATTTATATATTATGTTATTTACATTAGTAATTATGCCTACAGTTGTTGCCCTTGTTGGACTTTCGTGAGCACCTGCGTTATTTCGCATTCATTTCTAAAGTGAGAGCGACCTGACAGAGCAATTTAATGGCCCAGTAAAACACAGACGATGACAAAACTCTTAACAACGACATAAAATGTAAGTTCCAAAATTAACCAAAACATTTGACTATGCCTCCCATGAAATTCACCATGGCAACCTTGCGATATACAAACTGAAAGTAACCTAGTACTATTAGTAGTAAACAGACAACTCTTAAGTCTCAAAATCCTGAATATTCACCAGAACCTTGCAGAAATTGTATATTGAAACCCTTTGCTTCAATTCTACACCAAAATGTCACAAAAAAATCACAATACAATAGGGGGAAAAGAAGAAAAGACTAGAAATAGAAACTACATGTAGTACATTCATGGTAATCCAAATGAGAGTGTTTAATGGTGGTCTGGATCCATTAAAAATTGCAGAAACGTATCAAAAAACAAACAAAAACAAAGTGTGCAACTATATAATTCTCATTAATGGTGAACCTAACTTTATCAGTATTCTATATATATGTAGATACAGTTAGATCTAGACAATGTCGCTTAAAAAAAACCATCAGATGAGAGATAATATGTTTAATAAGATTTATGAAGACAATGATAAGAAAAGATACAGGTTCATTTTTTACTTCAATCTATGGGGAGCTGATTGTTTACTTCTGTTTACCTCGTATCATCTAGAAAACATTAACTTGTTTATCTGCTCTTGGCAGCTGTCAGGTAACTAAGAAATCTAGCATATCTCACACCCTATCTGCCGTTTTAAGTAGCAAATATTTACAAGAAACCATGTATTTTAGGCCATGATAAAAGTATTTTGGTGGGGCCATGTTTTTGACGAATAAGTAGCTGAATGATTGTAGTGTAATTAAGAGTGACAGTAGAGGGTAGCCATGTTGTATATGTTGAAAGAGAATAATATATTTTGGAGGTAACAAGATGGATGAACCAACAATCTGATTTATCAAGTGTGAATATCTGGGTGTGTTTTCTTCCATCTATTTGTAGTTTTTGAGATAGGTAATTTAATTATCTTCTGTTGATTCTTTTACTTATATACCGGTATGTGTTTTAACAAACAAGTTGGTACTTTATAAGCTGAATCAGAGGTTGGGTGGTCGAATGATATAACAGATGCTTGCACTTTGGATCATAAGGTCTGTCAATGAGGCGAAGTGGTAAGCTTTCGATCCCACATTTGTATGTGGGTTTTCTCCGATCATCTGCTTCCCTCCCCCATCTGCTCTTCCTCCCCCATCTGCCTGCGAAAGACACCTCTCTCCCCCTCCTCTCTCTCTCTCTCTCTCTCTCTCTCTAATAAGTCACTTAAGTCTGTGGACAATTTTTTGGTTTCTAATTTTAAATTTTTAAAAATATGGAACTAAAGTAAAATCCATTTGTTTTTAAAATATTTGTTATTTTTCCCCGCAAGAAATAAGAATACAGATTTTAATATATGCTCCAACACTCCATGATCTAACCAATTCATTTTAATTCTTTGGGGTTTGACCTGGACTATTGTAATCATAACCATTTGATCCGAGTATCGCCCTTGTAAGATGAATGTAGTATTGAAATGTTAAAGTATTTTATTATCTGTTTAAATAACTGTATTAAAGGATGAATTTGTTCCTAATATTCAATCATCATTTGATCTAAGCTTCACCCCTGTGAAATGAATGTAGTATTAAAATGTAAAAGTATTTTATAATCGGTTAGAGGTGACTGTTTTAAAGGTAATATTCAATCATCATTTAATCTGAGCTTCACCCCTGTGAAATGAATGTAGTATTAAAATGTAAAAGTATTTTATAATCGGTTAGAGGTAACTGTTTTAAAGGTAATATTCAATCATCATTTGATCTAAGCTTCACCCCTGTAAGATGAATGTGGTATTAAAATGTAAAAGTATTTTATAATCAGTTAGAGGTAACTGTTTTAAAGGTAATATTCAGTCATCATTTGATCCGAGCTTCACCCCTGTGAAATGAATGTAGTATTAAAATGTAAAAGTATTTTATAATCAGTTAGAGGTAACTGTTTTAAAGGTAATATTCAATCATCATTTGATCCGAGCTTCACCCTTGTAAAATGAATGTGGTATTAAGATATATAAGTATTTTATAGTCAGAGAGTTAATTGTTTTAAAGGTAATATTCAGTCATTTTTAGATCGGAGCTTCACTCTTGTAAGATGAATGTAGTGTTGAAATAATATAAGTATTTTTCATAAACGGTTGGATGAATTTGTTCCTAATGTCCAATCATCATTTGTAAATATCTATCAATATTTATCATTTTGTCTTCACTATGATATTATCGCTAGAACTTATTGCTTTACCAAAAATTGTAATCTCAGGAATTGAGTAAATATAATTGGCCTGACTGAACTGGATGTATTTTTGATTGAATTTGTCAAAAATTGGTCAGTTGTTGAGATGAGTGATGGTGTGAAAACTGTCAGAGAGAGATGGTTATCTCATGAAAGATGGAGGAAGTAAATCTCATTTCTTTGGAAGAAAATATCAGTTCTTTAAATCAATATCTACATCTTTCATTATCTTCATTTTCTACTTTGTAGAGTTGGTAATGGGAGATGTTTTGACTGCTGGTTTTAAATTGATGGTGTTCCTAGTGACATGGCTAGCGTAATTTATTTATCTTTGGTGATTACACAGATGGAACTAGAATAAATCATGTAGATAAAGATTGCTTGGACACTAGACAAATTATTCTTCCTCTTTTACTGACAGAAGAAATCAATTCAACCTCCACAAAAATTCTTACAGCGAAAAATTGCTGAATATAAAACGGTTTTGTAACAAAGAACATCACGAAAATCAAGTCTGTGTAAAATACATTCCATATTAATGTTACCTCATGTATTGCATTCATCAGATAAAATCATCTCCAGGAATTCCGTTAACTCATTTTTGTGGGTTTTTGTGTTTAATTTGAATCATGTGTTTCACTTTGTATTAAGAGTTAAAAATGAGATATGAATTGTACAGAATTCCCTGCGTAACTTTATCACCCTAATGCCAGTACCATATGTTCGAAAAAAATCTCGCACATGTTAACAGCATCATTAATATTTCACTTTTGCTATTCTTGCTTTGGAAAGTTGTTGGCAGTTGAGATGTATGCCATTGTTCCCGATGGACATCACAACCTTTACATTATCTCGTTAGTATAATTAGCCATTGTAAATCATGATTCAGCGAATGTTTTCAGTTAGAAATGATGTAAGACTACAAGAAAAGGTTCTGTTAAGTCAAATGTCTAGCCCCGAGTTCAAGTGAAGGTTGTTCTTGGGTCATAATTAACGGCATTCTTCTTCTTATTTTTCTTCAATTAGTGTAAGTTAGTTATTCCATTTGTAAAATGTGATAAATCCGTATTATTGTGAGTGGTATATATGTTTATATACTCTGACTTGTACAGGTACCAGGCTTTAATTAGATGAGGTTACCTTCTGTTTGTCATGCTCTACTACACATGGAATGGTATAAACTGTCAGTCAGTTATTTATCTTTATGATAAAGATGTCAAATTCACCTGAATCTGAGAAAGAAAGGATGTTGAATTATTTGAACTATGCGAACAGAGTTAAAGATTAATGGCTTCATATTTATTGATTTATTCACATTATTTATTTTAAATTTTCTTTATCATGAACCTCTTGTATAATACATGTATAATACATAACAATAGATTCTTGTAATATCACTGACATCACAAAGTCAATATATAAAGCCATAATCTCACTGTCAGCACAAAGTAAATATAGGCATATATAAAGCAAATTTTTAAAAAGGTTTAAGCTTGTTATTGTATCATAATTGTCATGGTATATTGGATATTTTATAAATAAATATTTTTAAACCAATAATTGGCCCCCTGGTGAATAATGCTGAAAGTAACTCATCTTATATGGTTAATATTATCATACTTTCAAAATAACTTCAGTTTTAGACTTTTTTAATTCTTTTTATTTATCAATACTATAATGATGTTTTCACACACTGCATTTCATTTTGAAATTCCTACGACTACCCTTGTATTGACCTATTGAATCAGACTAGAGTATGTGAGTTGTTACGGTCAAATGTACTGTGAAATTCGGGTTTTCTAAGTGAAAGAAAGTGAGCAGTTTGTTGTTTACATAGATTACATGGAATCAGGTCATCTCATTTTATACCCCGTTCAGACACTTATGTTTAAACTAGTTCAAAATCGCTGGGTTTTTTTTAAGACAGGATTGTGTTGCGTTCACACGTACTATAAACCAAACCAGTTTAACTATTTTGACATCCTCGGTCTTGCACACATCTTCAGACTTTTTGTACCCATTTTCCTGACAGACAGAAAATAGAAAATACTAGAATATGAGAAAACAGGGATTTATATAAAATGCTTACATGTGTTGAATAAAATTTTTTATCGGTTCTGGAAAGGAAATTTTGCATGTACACCACTCGATTATTTTTAATATTATTGTGACTTTCGATAACACTGGCACTGTGTGACGCCGCCATTTTCCCAGAAACATAACTTACTGCATACTGTAGGGTGGCCCATGTACTCACAAAAATACAGTCCACCGCTGATAGTTCGAGACTACCACTGAAGCGTGCACATTCGCCGTGCCGAGACCAACTTTCTGACAGTATGATACTATAAATAGCCATGGCACGTGCAATTCTCTACAAATCTATCAACTATTACAGCCGTAAAAAATTTA